CCAACAGTAAACCAAAGCACACATTTCCCCAGTGGTAGGCAGCCATCATTTTCCATAAATGACACCATCATCCCTATGACATTCTTGGACTCTGATATCTGAGCACACCTGTGTGTATCCAGTGGGGTGCCTTCTGTGATTCCCTCATGTCCTTTCAGTTCTAATTGCCCCCCAAGCTCAAACACTAGAGGTTCTTTTCCTTTCTGGGCATCACATTCCTATTGTTTCTCATTGCTCTCTGAATATCTGCCCTTTCTCTGCTTCAGTCAGCTGTGCATTACTGCCCAGTAATGTTCCTCAAGATCTTTCATTCTGTGCAGCTTCGAATTTATCACTTTTACTAGAGGCTGTTCTACCAGGAAAGCAATGTCCACTATAGTATAAAGCCTATTACCTTTCCCTTCTCCATTACTCCTCAACCTGGAACTAGTCTCCAGCCAAGTTAAACTAGGATATAATCAGAGATCTCGTGGGTAGATTACTGCAATAGTGGGATAATTGATATTCCTATTTCCACCGTTGACCCACCACATACAGAGTATTTTCTAAACACCTTTGCCACTGATCCTATTAACATATAAACCAAATCATCTCTCTCCTGTACTCAGAATCCTCACATAACTGCCATCACATGCTGAGAAAAACAAAATCCTTCAGTAATAATAGAGATGCCCCCAACTCTAACAGTGCCCCCCCCCACTTTATCTAGCTTACTCCACTCTTAGCTCTCTTCAGTATTTCAAAGTCTCTTCTTGAACCTTTTAATGTCTTTTTTTTTCTTTCTCCTTCCTCTTTGGAGGTCTCTGCCGAAGGCCAGCCTCCACAAGACTTAAATGTTCTTTTCTCAAAATTCCTTATTCTCTATCTCAGTAGCAACCATCCCCACCTTCACACTCTCCACCCACCAGGCATGGTGTTTCTCTGCAGTGCAGAACACCCATTAACATCCTGCATGCAGTATTGTTTACATCTTCTTATGGGGTCTGTTTTTCCCCACAAGAATACAAATTCCATGAGGAGAGAGGGCTTTATTTTAACCATTTACCCACTGCTATAGTCCTGAAGTAGTGCATATACTTCTTGGGCACTTCATAAATATCTGGTGAATAAATGCCTATATCCCCCCTACATTTCAGGGAGCAAGCCTATCACTGGTCACTATGATACAGAGGTTCTGTGCAGCCAAGCATCCCCTTGGTGCTTCCTAATGTTTCCTCTCCCTCTCTTTAAAAAGGTCTCACTTTTTTTCAAGCCAAGATAGCCCTACTGCTGTGGACACCCGGGTCAGTAACTCTAGGCATCAGCGATGGCCTTCACAGCCTATATCCCTGGGTTTTTCAGGAAAATTTGTGCAGCCATTTCAGTAGCCAAAATCAGCCTAAACCTCAGTTCTGAGTACATTATGTTCTCAGTCTGACTTACTGCTATTATTTAACATCAACACTGAGCCAAGACTGACTTTTTTCTGCCAAGTCGGAAGTCAGCCAAATATTGCACTGGATAATCATTCCCTTTCTTTGGAGATTTTTCACATTAGACATTATATTTGAAAACTTAAATCATACAGATTCAATAGAATACTTTTTATTTAATCACTTTTTTTGGTTTTCTTAGTCATTAAAAAAAAGAAGTAGCACCATTGCTAGAAGTCAGTAGAACAGGCATCTGTGAAGATTGCTCTCCATCGTTTTAGAGCTTCTCATCCTCAGTCTTTCTGTAATATTTAGTTGATTCATCATTTTAATGAATATGTTCAAGCCTAGGTAATGTTCACTGTTCAATGCATACATTTGAATTTATTCTCTTTAAAAGAAGCAAAATGTGCAGGAAATGCTAAACAAAATGCAGAGAAGAGGGGGGGAAAAGTGCCTTTCCACAAAGGAATAGAATTTATACCAAGAAAAAAAAGATAAAAGTCGTACTATTGCAAGCCTGGCAAGAAAATAGCAAGACAGAGGGGAAATGTTATGAAAACAACACTTTAGCCAAGAATTTGTAAATTATACTGTTAATTCATAGGGTTGGATGAGGGGGGGAACAGTCAGTTGCAACTACATTTTGTCATAAATTACCCTCCTTCCAAGGCAGACTGACAGCTTATAACCATGTTTCCAAAGAAATATAAGTGGAGAGAAGTGCATCATATAGAAGAAAACACACCTATTTCAGGAAAAGATAGAGGGGGAGAGCATGCAGAGAAATGCAGGAATGGAATACCCAGAGTGAAATAATGAGATTATTTTAGTACCATCATTTGTTTTATTCCAACTTGTGTATACATTGATGTAATCCTAAATGCAATCAGTCCCTCACTCAGACCACCATGGCGATGATCTGGTAGCTTTCCTGTTGCAGGCAAAGGAAGGGTCACTCACAAACAGTATGAGGCAGCCTCCTTACCATTTTTGAGTTGCTCTGCCATTTTGAATGTTTGCTCCCATAATCACATTGCAACTGTGTCCTGCAGAGATAGAACATTTCATTTTCTTGGCCTGCAATGTGAAATGAGTTAAAAGTAAATGCTGAAGAATGATAATACTGAGCTTATGCTGACTGCATGACAATGTGTTTGCCTGCTTCCTACAGGGAATGAGAAACTGCAGGGGGATCACTTTCTGTGACCTAAAGATGTATAGGGTTATTCACCATTTCTCATGGAACTTAGGTAAACTGCTAAAGTAGTTGCTAAAATAACTAGCTATTTAGTCAACAAAAAACATGTGAAACTAACAAGACAAACTCCTCTCTTATTCTTTGCAATGTATATGCTGTATCCAGGTTATTTTAATTTTCATTTTTTAAAAGCATAATTCAAATAGTATTCTAAGCATTTTCTTTCCAAGTGTTGTATTTACTGGCATAATTTAATTGTGAACTAATTTAGTGAATCATTTACTTAGGAAACACATTTGGAGAACTTGGAATCTGCAGCTAGTGAGATAAATGGAATGGCTCCCAATATGCCAATGTTAGAAAGAATAAAACTAACTTGATCTTGTTTATTTAAAACTAAAAACTAAGCTTTTAAAATTGGATAAAATAAGTCCAAATTGAAACACATTGGCCCCGTTTTTTCAGTTTTGTGAATTTGAAATATTTATTATTACATGCATTGTTTTTTTCACCTTTTACATATCTTTCTGTAATATGTTCATCATATCTTTAACTCTTAGCAGTTTTCTTCATGTAACAATATCCTCCAAATCTAACACCTGATTATGTATTCCAGTGGTATAGGAGAATGATATACATAAGAAGTGATTATAATAGAAAAGTGTAAATATTGATATTTTCAAGGTTTATCTGGACAGATAGTTTGAAGGTTATTCATTCAAATACAATAGCAGCATAGGCACTGGTAAATGGGTGGTGGGAATTTCATGGGGATTGTAACCGAGATGAAAATGCATACATCGTATAAAAATTAAAAATGATGTGAAAATATATAAAATAATAATTTAAAAAATAGCAGAATATCCTCCTGAAGTTGTCAGAGGTAAGAATAACCTCTAACAGATTACCCGGAAGGGTCTGTGTTTAGTAAGGTGTGATTTTTTTTTACATCAGGACTGCTCTCATCACTACTTTGATTGGAAAATGTATGAGGCTGAAAACTCAGGTGATTGCAGCCAGTCCTTGGGTCTTCTCTTAGCATTTTTTACCCTGATCTTTTTTTGTTTGTTTGTTTGTTTTTTGTTTTTCCCCTGGTCTTGGACTCACTTCTTCAGACTGCTGGCAACATTCTATGTTCAGGACACAGTCACGGATCAAATCTCAACATGAATAACTGTTGAGAGAAGCATTATTTATATGTTGCCAATAGAAGCAGGCAGATAGTGACACATCTTAAATTAAACCCAAACTGGAATACACAAGACACAATCCTGATTAAGTTCTCCAACAATAAGATGAAAGCATGAATGGAAAACCCAATTAAAGGATAGGAAAAGCCTGGCACCAACATTCAATTCAACATTTAATTACATTCTTACAATAAAAACAAGAAGAAAAATATAAGGTGAAATATTTGAACATAGAATTCCTACTTTCAGAATGATCTGTCCCCCTGGTGAGGGTGCACATGGCTCCGATGCTGAGCATTCCCCCATCTTGTGGAATCAGGTAGAAGCCCTTACAAAAATGGGTTCTGTTCCATCAATCAAACATTGCATTCCTAATATTTTTCATCCTGAACTCAATTTAGCAGAGGAAATGGATATTTCATCAGACATGGATTTGACATTCCATCACACGTCATAAACAGGATAAACAGTGTTTTGGAAATGGGAGAGCAGGAGAGCAAAGACAGTAGCCACTGAAAGGGTAGGGTTATCTCATCTAAACAGATAGTAAGTGTGGGTGCCAGCAGTGTGATATCAGAAGCTTCCCGCTTTTTGAATAAATTGCTTAGAAGGAGTCTTTTTGCTACCAGATGTGACCTAGATTTAGATTTCCAAAGGCAGAGGAAAAAGTCTCTATTGTGTTAAAAAAAAAAAAAAAAAAAAAAAAACAACCAATTGCTGGTAAAATGCATGGTAAATTAGCTTATCACACTTTTCCAGGTGTTTGGGCTAATATGTTATGGAATTACTGCTTCATTTATGAAAAATAATTGAGGAAAGTGTTCCAGCAAATCAAACTTGGATAAAGGCTTAGGATAGCTATTGTGTTTTTAGCAAGTTTTTAAAAGGCAAAAAGAGCAGGGAGCCAATAGAGATAATAAACATATAAAAATTGTGTTTGAGAAGAGTCTTATAAGAGGGTCAGGCGTTGGTGTGCTATCCAACTTATGTTATGGTTTGGTAGAATATTGAAGAACAATGTGAACAATTACATTCTTTTCAATGAATATGAAAGCTGTTGAAAAAAATCAGAGCTTGTCTGTCTGCTGGCTCTGATAAGTCTTATTACACTGTTAAATGCAGCAAATTTTTGTTAAATGTAACGTCTTTATTCTCTCTTACCCACCTCTCTCCTTTTTCATTTCCTTCCATCTTCAGGAGCTGCCACCCCAAAACCAGTCCCAGAACCTGAGAAACAAACAGACCACACAGTTAAAATTGCTGGAGTTATTGCTGGCATCTTGCTCTTCGTTATTATATTTCTTGGAGTTGTGCTGGTAATGAAGAAAAGGTGAGCTCCTAGCCGTTGCCAAAGATATGGTTATATCCCATTGTTTGTCATGTTGCTTCAAGTGTGTGAAAATACTTATTTATTGAGTTTGATGACTAAGACACATCTGTGACTGTAATTGTTGACATTTTTCATCATATAGCATTCAGGGTTATGAGACTAATTTAGAATAAGTGACTGTATTTTGTATGAATATGCAAAACGTATCATACCAGAATAACATAAGAGTCATATGTCTTCCCAAAAATTGTTACATAAAGCTTTGCAGAATCTTTAAGTCATTTATTCACCAGGAAATTGTTAGTACTTATTAGCAACATACTGTCATCTTTGATGTTATTGACGAGATAAGATAGAAGACTTTTGCTTCTTATTATAATTAAGATGATGACAGTAATTACTGAGTCCACGTTATATGTAGGCATCATGCACAGAGTTAATCAGCACAACATACCAGAAGAGAGAGACTCTCAAAGAATTGCCTCAAAGAAACAGAGGGCATGGGCAGGGGATAAAGACAGTGCTAGTGCACCTTGCATGTTATGAACTCCCCTGTTTAGCCAAAAGGTAGTCTAGGGGAGGAAAAAAAAAAAATCAGATATAGCTACAATATGCACTCCTCACCTCCGATATTTGAAAAATAGCTGTGTCTTTTGACCTGTGAAAGTGCATAGGTCTTGCTTAATAATATAATGTTCAATTTATACAACAATTCTCAACTGAGATAGATGCTAAAATGTGACAGGATACATCTCCTGACTTCTTTCCTATCTAGTTTTTAAACAAGTATATAATAGGAGTGAGTCACAAGCTATAAGAGGTGAGGGTGGAGAGATTGGCAAAATCATGTCTTAAAAATCTTATCTGGTCATCTAAGGAGGCTGAATGTGGAGCTGAAATCTGCTGATGGCCTGTAATCAGACAGACACATAATGTCGTATTTAACTTCAAAAGATTACTCTGAGGTTAGGGTTGAGTGCAGTAAGGAGGGAAAAGAACTTGAGTCAGGACAAGTAGTTGAATAGAGAGTAAGCAACTTTAGAAATAACTGGGAGGTGATAGTAGCTATTTGAAGGCTGACACCAAGGGAGAAAGAACAACACAGAAAAAAGACCTAGTTCCTGGCCTAGACTGCTAGTGGAGATATTACATTCACCAAAAAAAAAGTGGAATATAGGAAGTAGAACATGTGGGGAATTAAGACAGATTCCCTATTTTGCACTTCTTCAGTTCACTATTCTGATGGGATAGTGATGTCTGCTAGGTAGTTGGGAAAAGCTGGTATGGATGAGGAATATTTTCCATGTCAAAGTCATCAACATATTCCAGGCTGAAGCCATGGGTTTGGATGAGGTGAGTCAGAGTTACGGTAGTATAAGAAGGAAGTCAAAGATGAGTTAATACTCAAATATTTGTGTTTGCATGGTCTTTTTTATTTCTTCCTTTATTTATGTTTATTGTTCTAGTGAGGCCTTAGGGCAAACTCTTGCTCTCTCCCATCTGTGTAGGTCTCCTATCTTTGACCCCATCTTTTCAACTCTTCCTTCCCACATGTCCTACATCCTCCATTCTGTTCTCTCTTCTTCACCTATTATCTGATCTCTCTTCTTATATTTAATTCTTATTTTTTTTCTTTTTACCCTCCTTAGCTATTTATCTCTTTCTTTCTTTATGTTTGTCTCTCTTTTATTTCTTCCTTTTATAGTTCTTTACCTCTCATAATTTTTTCTCCTTGAAAATTTCTCCCAACCTCAATGTTTATATAGATAGCTTATCTTTGGCACCAGTGGTTTTTACTGTTTTAAAAATATGATACAGTATAAATTCTAAACAACTCGAGGTCCTTCCATGCCTGGATATCCAAACTAAACATTTTGGAGAGTTTTAATTTAAGTTGTGGTAATACGCTGGAATTTTGTGTCGTCTGACAAGCTCTCTGTGAGGAATAGCCTGAAACTACTAATCCAAGTGCCCTTGTGACCTTAGCTAAATGTTAACTCATCCTCCAAGGGTCTGTTTCTGCTGGATTAATTCATTATTCTGCCTCGGTCTCTCAGGTAGTCATGAGGTTATGTTATAAATTATGCATTTGAAGAAAATGCCTAAGGTAACATATGGCCTTGATACAATTTTAAACTAAATGCCAATAACTCCTAATAAAGTTACATGATTATTTACAAGATAATAATCTTATGAGTTGTTTTCATAGCATGTACTACTTTTGTAATTGCTTTCACTAAAAAATAGAATATGTTCTCTATAAGGCAAATTTGCCAGTATACTGTGCTTATATAAATACAAAACTTGTATGACTTAGATCTCAATAGTCATGTGGTACCAACTCTTTAATAGAAATTCATAAAATTTCAAATTGTTCAGGGTTCTATGACAATCTAATACAAACTAAATTGTAAAGGTTCTGTTTTTAAAGAGTAGTTACAACATGATACTAAGAAGTTGCTAGAGTATTATTAACATGTGATTGGCTACATTGCTTCATCAGAATACTGAATTTAGAGTTGGAATTGTTAGATCTGCATTTTATTTTATTTTTTTATTTTTTAATGCTTTTTTTTTTTAATAGAGGCATGTTTTATTTATTTATTTATTTTATTTGTTAGTTTGTTTTGTTTATACATGCACTGGGTATAGTCAGAAGCACGGGAGGGTGAGAGAATTCACCAGAGCCAGAGGAGAGAGCAGAGCAGGCAGAAGGACCAAAGTACACTGCTGAGGGGAGTAGCGGGCGGCAGGAGAGGTCTGCACGCCATGTGGGACCCTCCTCCGGTGGCCAGGGAGCAGCCGGGGATCGAACCAGTGCCGCAGAGGCTGCGGGCAGCTTCGCAACCCAGCGCTCAACCACTGTGCCACCGGGGAGGGCCTAGATCTGCATTTTAAGTAACTTTGTGATTCAGAACTTCTCTGAGTCTTAGTTTTCTCATTTATAAATTGAGAAAATTGATTCAGATCATCTCTGAAGTTTCTCCCAGTTCCAGTATATCTGATTTTCTATGATGTAGCAATGTGGTGACACCACTGCACACTTTCAAGTCCAGAATACACTGAGTGGCTCTTCACTATATTCCATTTCTTAAACATCTGTGGTGGTAATTCCTCCATAGTCTCTCTTTGTTCAGTCAGTTCATGTCTGGAAGTGTTGCTTAGTGGGTAGTTTATCTTTTAGACACATATTGCCACTCTCACACAGGAGGCCCTCAGTTAAAGGGTAGGGGGTCAAAGAGAAGAAAGAGCAGGCAGGAAAGAACTGGCTCAGGTGTGGATTTCAATATACTGTTAATCATATAATTATTAAAATTATTAACATTTTGCTAGTTGAAACCTAATGCTAATCAAATTTTGAGTCTTATCCTTGTATGGGCTTGTTAGCCTATATTCCTTCTGCCTGTAGCACCCTGAGTCAGCCAACTTAAATACATGCCATTGGTCATAAAGATAGACTGGACCGGAGAGAAAGTATGGGAGAAACAAATACATCAATAGTTCTAGAATACAATTGGAAGTCTGTCTTGATGAGGACAAGGCAGTAGTTAACATCTGTGTTTGTCAGCATGACAGACCAGATGGGACTGAGCCTGTGGGAAGGGGAACAGTAAATTTTATTGGGTGGCATTATCGATTATTAGCTTAGCTAAGATTGTGTTGCCCTCTGAAGGACTAGCCTTTATTTAAAAAAAAAAAAAAAAAACAGTTGCTCAAGGTAGGCCTTTAATAGAAAGTGCAAAATCTGTTCAATTCATGATTCATCGAATTATTTTATATCTAGGTGATAATGACTAAAAACTGAGATGACCATCACCTTTACTAGGCTATAATGTTTTCTAATGACTGGTTGTCATTTGCTTGTGAATATCAATCCATTTCAGCAGCCTGAGCCTGTGATAAAATACAAAATCTTTCTTTCCCTTAAAAACTTTCCTTAAGAAAAAGCCTTTATATTAAAAATAATGTATTCTAGAGCTTCCCTGGTGGTGCAAGAGTTTGGGCACCACACTGTGAGGCGGTCTGCAGCCTCTGCATTGCGAGTTTGATCCCCGGCTGTGGCGGGGGCCCAGGGGAGCAGCCCACGTGGCCCAGCAGACCTCTCTGGGCTCGCCCGCTGCTCCCCTCAGCAGTGTGTTTCAGTCAGTCTGCCTGTTCTGTTCCTCACTCTGTCTCTGGTTGGTCCTCTCACCCCCCCACATCTCTGGCCTGTGCCCCAGCTCTTCTATGCATAAATGGGTAATTCTTTAAAAAAATTAAAAATAAAATAATGTATTCTATAAGTAAAACAATTTCATATTATTTTGTCTTTCCCAGAATTACATATTTTTGAAGGTACAGTGCACAGTGCTATGATGAACAAATGTTAAGAAATGCTAAGAGATTAATATTTATGAAATAAAAGTTATGCAGAGCCACATGACAGTATACTCAAAATTAATATAAAATCAGTTGAGAAGATAATTTTATTATATCCCATCCATATATAATTGAATATATTTGTATAGATGAAAATACTTCATTTTCAACATTTTCATAAGGATTAATTTATCTCAATAGTATTTTTGACAGTACTTAGCATATAAGCACCATAAATTTTACCCTTATTAATTATATTTACTATCATTTCTAAAATTACTATAGATCTTTTAGAGATTTAAGAACATTTGTATTAATTACAATGATATTTCTGTCTTGGGTGTTGTGGCAAGTAGAAATTACAGAGGTTGCAATTAAATGAAAATAATAATATATGCATTCCTGGTAAAAATATCAAATGTTAGCTATTCTATTACATGAGTGCTGTCAGTAGGTAAATATACCTATTTTAAGTCTGAAACATTGCACTTCTATCTCCTTTCATGACACATTTTCACAAATGTACATTTTGCAAATGCAACTTACATCATTAAACATATAGCATTCATTCTATTACAATTAAACAATACTAGTATTAACAAAAAAAGAAAATTCAATAAAAATGAGAAGTACTTCTGAAG